AAACCCCCTCACCCTGGAGAGAACTCAGCGGCTGCCGACGAAGCGAAGGCCTACGGGCAACTTCTTCCCTGCGGAGATCTGAGCGGAGTTCAAGACCTTCAACAAAGCCAACAGGCCCTTGTGCTCGGTAGATCTGCTTTCGGGCGCCGGCCGTTGTTTTGAATTTGGATTTTACCTGGTGCTTATAGGAGAGAGTATGCTTTTCCATAGCTTCAATCGTCTTCAAACATATTCTCAAAGATGTCCAATAGCCGCGCTCCATTAGAAACCTTGGGCCAACTGAGGCGAGGTTGAGAGAGTTAGCGGCTTGCATATGTGGGCCGCGTATTGATTCGTTGGCCTTGCAAAAGAGTCACCGCCATGATCTTGTCTTGATCACGAAATCCAAGAAGCAGACAATTGTGTTCAGAGATGAGCACCTTGCATCTGCCCTTTTGTGGAGGAATGTGGCAGAAGGCAACATTTTCACGTATGTTGGTGGATCGCCTGTGCGGCCGCTAGCAAAACTGCAATTTGCAGCTTGCTCCGCAGCCTTGTTCGAGGCTAGTTTTTCCGTAGGAAACAACAGAGGGGAAGATTTGGCCCCACCACAGGGTCCAACCAGGCAAGGTATATTACAGCAAGGCGGCTTTCCGAAAACACATGTGCAAGTATTGGGTGCTTAAAAGATTGTAGTTTTGCAAGAAAGTTTTGATGTCAAGGTTTGAGCTTTCCAGAAACATATGTGCAAGTATTGGAGGCTTAAAGATGGTAGTTTGGACAAAAAGTTTTGATGTCAAGACTGAATAGGCTGGCTTCCTACCACAGTGGAACAACGATGCCCGCAAATGTTTGAGAGAGCGCAGCCTTTCCACATCTGGGGATTCAGCAACCTTTTTGCAGCAGTGTTCCTCGACCAGAAAGTTTTTTCATTAGCTACTCTTGTGGGTCAGCTTAACAGCATCACTCCATTCGGCTCGCAACATATATTCTTAAGGTTTGACATGCCACAGTCTTATGATGTCTTTTGGCACGGGGCCAGGTTGCCAATTTTCTTGTCTGCTGTGGGTGCGGGTGCTTTTCCAGGCGTCAGTGCAGGTGCAAAGGTGCTGTTCGATGGGTTGGTTCTAACAGCAGAGTCCTGAGTCTTGAGGGCGGAGGAAGGGTTAGTGCGTGCACATTTGCACATGCTAGCGCGCAAGTCTGCGCAAGTCGTTTTGTGACAAGACCGATGATTTTGGCGGCTTTCTTTGCGAATGTGGAGCCAAGCAGGGGCTTGGATTAAGGTTGCCGAGGTTAGGCACCGGGCTCGCAACATGACGTCATGGCGGATATCGTTTTTAATTTTTGTAGACCACGGACCACCAGCGCACTTGCGAGGCTTGCGGCTGCTCTCTTCTCTACATGGACCTTTGCTGTGGGGCTTATCGAAGGAGATTGTGAAACTAAAGCACCCACCACTTGAGATGTTTCAGAATCCTTCAGATGCTGATTTGTGGGTCCAGTTTCTTGGCTCATAAGTTGCGATTTTTTAATGATACGGCGACCACCGAGATCTACACCTACATAACATGAAGAACATTCCATGGCATCTGCAAATTATACATTGTTTGCCTTAAATGCTAGGTTTTTTTGATTGGTACACAGACCCCGGCTATATTTTCCCTTTTTCTCTTCGCCATGTGAATTTCTGAAACTGGGAGATCGGGTGATTACGTCTTTGTGTTGGCTCGGATTCCAGGTATACGAATTTGCAACAACTCGCAGCCAAAGTAACAGAGTTCAAAGATGTGGCTCGGGATGATGGTAAACCCGACTTTGCCAAGCTGCACTCTCACGCGCTGCGCGTGCGCTTGCAGCACGTTCGAGCACGGAATTGTTGGCACCTTCTGCGTTTGTGGCACCGGACACGTACAGCTTCATTCACCAGCGAGATGCTGGCCGAATCATGTGCGTCCGTGGTTCGCTTCGTTGAGAGAAAACACTCGGTTGGTCATTCGTTAAGTTTGCAGAGTTTGTGCGATTCTGCGATGTTACGATTGCATGGCATTCGTGGGTCCATGGAAGAACTTCCATTCATTAGAAGTGCTCTTCAGGAACACTTTCAGAAGGATACACCACACTTCTTCGTTCAGGCTGCATACAGGAAACGCCGAGATCTCGATCTGGGTCCTTCCCGCACCCTGCAGCGCCTCCGTGTGCCATGGCCAGAACAAATTTGTACTTTTCAATTGTTGACTGACGCTAGAAACATGAGAGCTTTCCAAAGTGTTATCATGTGAAAAAAGGTTTTCCCAAAGAAAGAGCGAACATTGCAACAAGATACGACCAAAGAATTGTAGGCTATTTTTAAAAAACCATATAGTCATCAGGCCTTGGCTGATGCGTCTGAAAATGCAACACGAATGTGGCCTTGGCTGCATGAGCCGATGAACCCTCCGAAGTACTTGCCAGAGGGTTCCCCTGACGATCCGATGTACGACTCTGACTTCTCGGAAGACCTGGGGAAGAATCTCGACGTGCTGCTAGCGGCGTATTTGGGCCAGTTTCAGAACAGATAGCCTTGACGAAGCTTTCTGGTGAGAAAAATCCGCCCACCGAGCTGCCCGCAGGTTTGTGAATGTGGGGTCTCCCCTGTTTATGCTTTGATGTTGTATCAACAGACAAACTACAAACACTTCATTTTAGGAAAAGATTTCCTGACCTATGCATCCCACCTGCCAAAAACTAGTCAACCACCAGTTAGGCTGAATCTTGTGCCAGTTTCTCAACTTTGTCCCATGACCAAAGGGTTGCCAGAACTTGCTGAAATGATCCCATGGAGGTCCAGACCTGATCATCAAGCTCCAAGCGCTTGCGAAGAACCCGTGCTACGATGATTTCAGCTTCGTGGCTGTATATTTTCAGGAAGCAGCTTGTGTTTGGTCGTTGCCCTTTTCACCTGCCGCTTCCATCCTGTTCTTGTGTTGTTCGGTGTTTCCATGGTTGAATCTGGGTGCCCAATCAAACCTAGTGACTCGAGTGTTTGCGCAACCAGCCCAGAATCTTTGTGTTTGTTCGAATGATTTTTCTTTCTTGTTTGTTCGAATTGCCGTTGCTTGACCTTATCTCTGCTTATCTCTGCTCCTGTAGAGCCAAATGTCCGGCCTATCTTGAGCGATCTTGAGCTACCTTGAGAAAAGATACACCCATTTGCGACGTTCAAGACGCTATCTCGCGGAGACGTCCTTTAGATAGTGACTTCTGGGGCTATGTTAGGCAATATGGAAGCTATGTTGGGCCACGTTAGGGGAACCTGTTCAGCCAAATGTCCGGCCTCAGATGATTCAGATCATGCAAAGGAAGAAAATGGCAATTCTTGCATCACCAGGGGCTTCAAAATAGCGAAAATTAGCACAAATTCATCTTCCAACATTTTAGGCCGGTTCCAAAAACGTGAACAAACATAGGATTCTAGAGCGAAAATGCCCCCCTAGCTAAAGCTATTAGCACAATCCTAGCTTGTGTATATCGCGTGCCTTAAAAGAACGCCTCAGCACCGCCGGTGCGGGCGGATTTGTTAAACTGTTGAGCTTGTATAGCTCTTCTGGAGGTGAGATTACTGCTTTAGCACGCTTTAGCAGTTTCTTTGGGCCTCGTTCGAGGGCTCTCGAGGGCCCTGAGAGCTGCTCTCAGGCCGTGAGCAATGCGCTTCAAGACGTCCTTCACCACATCCATGTCTTGCAGAAGGACCGTGGACGTCCAACGACACGTGGACGCCCAGTTGGATCCGGAAACCGTGAGACGTTTGGAAAGGACAGAGTCCACGTGTGAAGATCTGTGAAGATATCCAGAATTGTAATAGAGTCTACATGGACATGCATGTGAATAGGTTCTTCCCCTGAGAGTCCAAATGCCCTAGGGCAACTGGTAGCAGTGGATTATGACTCCTAGGTGGTGTAAAATGAGTCATTGGAATGTTTGGGTTCCCTTTGCCGTTCATGGAGTAGATGCGACACGAGCAGGTGCACCAAGCTACTGACGTTCACGCTCGCTATGTGCAATGCCAGGATCAGACTGCACAACTGCTGGGCTTGGATCGATTGGCCAAGCAGGTCTGATGTTTTTGAAGTTCCAAAGTGAGAACCACTGGCACCTACTGTCTTAGAATCAACTCGAGCTGCTTGATGTTTCAGTTGCTTGCTTTCTTCTTGTTGTCACAGCTTCGTCGGCTTCGCCCTTTTTTAGTTTGCTGTAATATCGAATTTAAAGACCCTGCCCCCAGCCGCCAATCATCCCAAGCCTGACCATTTTCTTTCAGTTGCAACAGACACTTATTACACTTATGATAACTTATGGTTACCTCTTCAAAGGAGCACAGGAAAAGGTTTCATTAAAAACACACTCCGCAGTAGCCCTTTCGAGCCGATCGTCAAATTGCCACCTCAGCTGTCGCGAGGCACATGGATGTTGACAGCTGCTCGAGATCCATTGTTGGAGTGAAAAAAGTACAGCGCATGGGGCTACCGCTCTCTGTTTTAGGGAAGTGTGTTTTGATTATTTTTGTTATTGTTTTTTGACCTAAAAATGTCTCATCCCGCCACTCGATGGTACTGGTACCTCCTAACCTCCGCGCCTCGATCATTCGGCCCGCACGCCCCGCGGTCGTCCGGTCGCCCGGTCAGACGTCCGCACCCACGCCGATCAGTTGGGGGTGGTGCCAGGGGGTCAAGGCAATGGCACAGGTGGCGGTTTACCTGGAGCGGGGCTGTTTGGGGCCGGTTTGGTCAAAATAAGCCAAGTAGGTCTTGCATGTTCTATTTTCATACGTCGAGTCTTTGGGTATACAATTGTTGAGGTCCCCCCATGCTAAGATGTATATTATATCCCTGAGAGTCAAAGACTATACAAAGAATTGTCTTTAGGTGACCCGAAAAGGAAGTTCCTTTTTAAACTCGGTCGGTCAAAATATAGTATTTGGACTTCTAGGGATATGATATGTATCCTCTTACAGTGTGAACATGTACTGTACTCATACTCAGGTGCCTGAGTCCTTTGTGGATCGCCTCGTGCAATGCTCTTGGTGGCAGCGCCATGCTGTTGGACCAACACTGCCGCTGATGCTTCTGGCGTTGCTCACGGTGGAAGAGCGGCTTCTCGGTGGAGTCGTCCGTTCCGTTGCGACCGTGGCGGGTGGAAGACGCCATCTGCTCTGCATCTGCGGCATCCCGGTATCCCTATCTGATATCCACGGCACCACCAGTCTCCCAGTTGTATAGGTTCCCTTGAGATCAGGTGTCCGATGCGGATTCAGACTCTAGCTGTACCTCTGTAGTAGATATTCCTCCTCCATGGCTTAGTAGAACATGCCCCATCCTCGCTGGTGGGATTGATGAGGGTCCCCGGAGGTATCCATATGTTTCCACCAGATTCTCCTATGAACATGCAACCCCTTTTTGGAGGGAGTTCCCTAACCGCTTGCTAGTTGTTTAAGGTTTCCCACTTTGGGTTTTGAATGTAATTGACATGTTTGGCTTGCCTATTGAATCAGGGGCTCCCAAACGGTTTGTTCAGCTAAATTTGGAAGAAGCTGGGTGTGGCTGTTCACTCCGCACGCCCAGGTGGCTTTGGGAGTTGCCATGGACGGCCCAGTTCCGGCTACACGCGGCCTAGCCGGTGGGGTTTGGGAGGAGCCGGGGTGAAGCCAACAGTGTGAAGCCAAAATCATTTCCAACAGAGGCAACTGCCTGGGAAGTACTTTACTCTAGAGCACTTGAGAGACAGAGAGAGCGAGAGCGAGAGAGTTCCATGAGATTCATGAATCAACGTCAGGTGATTTGATATGATGTTTTTGCAGCTTTGGGGCATCAGAGGTGCTTGCAATATAATTGCGAAAGCCAGCCTTCGTAGAAGGCGCCAGCTGAGTTGTGCTTGGCGAACGAAGTGAGTAGTTAGGCAAAAGGTACACGTAAACTCGGCAAATGCTGGGGGAGGAGGGTGGACGGATTGAAGGTTTTTTGAGGTTGTGTTGGAGGTGATTTTTGAGGGGTGGTGATGCAAGAAATGCAGTTTGCATCATTTGCACCATCTGAATGGTAAGGTGTAGTTGGCACCTTGCCAGGTATATATACCCAGGGTAGCTATAGTGCAGTTACCAGGTAGAGTACTTCAAGTTCCCTTTCCATCAACCGCTCGATAACCTCTACACACGCACAGCAATCCGCAGCTTTGAAGTCTCATGCGCGCGATACCTGGGAACAGAATTGTAGCTACCCTGGGCCCGTGTAAATGCCATGTTGCTATACCTCTTACACACATATAAGTTCAAGGCACGAATGAGAAGGTTATCGAGCGGTTGACGGAAAGGGAACTGGAAGTACTATACCTGGCAACTGAATTGTAGCTACCCTGGGTATCTATACCTGGCAAGGCGCCAGCTGAGTAAGAAGGGGGGTTCGGGGGGGTGGCCTGAGAAAGCACACTCGAAAGTAAAAACGCTGGCTTTCGCTTTGCAGCTTCTCAGGTATAGCCTGATAGATTGTTTTGCACACTTCAGGAAATCCGAGTTGATTTCAATCATAAATAAATAATAAGTACAAGCCTTGTCCCTTTGGACTCCTCAGACTCAGACTCTTTTTGACATCTGGCTCATGCTTGCCCAATCTTCAATCGATATGATTTCCCTTCAACGGAAGCTGATCTCGGGGAGACTGTGGTGGAGGGAGGGAGGGAGGGAGGGAGGGAGGGACAGAGAGAGAGAGAGCGAGAGAGAGAGAGAGAGAGAGAGAGAGCGAGGGAGGGAGGGAGGCAGGGAGGGAGGGAGCCAAGATTTTGGTGCAAAGACGGACAAAAAAGAGAACAGTGATAGGATGTTTGGAACATTGTCCATGATCCACTTCACTTGTTGTTAGATGGATTCATAGAGCGCTCATTGTTCAATGAATTCATGAATCCACGTTTTTTTTGCAAACCAAGGTGGCACACGCCCTGTACATTGTGAAATCCTGGGCCACATCTGACAAGGACCAGGGAAAAACCCTGGAGATCAGAGCCATCATTTTGGCACATCACACTTCATCACACCCATAGGTTTTCCTTCATGTTTTGTTTGGTGGGCTGGGAGCTCCCAACTTAGCTCCCAGGGTTGCAAGTTGGAACACGTGTCACAAGATCGGCAGAAGTCAACCAAAGGAGTTGTTATGTGCATGGCTGGTTCGGGTCACAGGACTGAGCTAGACATGCCATGGGATGAACAGGTGATGACCCACTGAAACGCATGTGCGCAGTGCCTCAGGAAAAGATGCACCATGTTCGTTTGACGTGAGGACGAGCAGACCTGATGCGGCCTGGCGGCCAGCATGTGTCGGCAGCTCCCAACCGAAGAGGCGGGAGAAACAAAGTGCTTTTGGAACCTTCCCCGCACCATCCTGCGAGATCAAGGGGAAGTGTTTACTTTGGTTCTGTTGAGAGTTGAGAGATGTTGGTTGCTGGAACTGGTCTGTGGCCCTGGCTCCAGCTGCGCTTTTCTGCGACCCTTAGTTGAGTTCAGGGGCGTTTTGAGGAGTGATCGTTGGATGACCTGGATCGCACTACATAGGTCACAGGCATCTTCTGTTTGATATTAATTAAACATAAGAGAATGATTTTCTACTATATGATATACCTTATGCCCTAGGCCCTAGGTTCCAGCCACCCTCATTCCTATTGAGTCGCACCGGTCAGTTTTATTTGGCACTTTCTTTCTAATATATATATATATGTTTATCCCAGACACTCCATGTATGGCATATTTGCCTACATTGGGGTGTTTTCAGGGTTCAATGTAGGCATACATTCCATACATGGAGTGTTTGGGTATGCATTATACATGCTTGGTCTCGAGTCGCAAGCCGCCGCGCACTGAACCCTCAACAGTCGGTTGTGTCAGATGGTTTTCGTGCGTGGTCCTGAGTGATGAACATCACACTGTTTGGTTCAAGCGCCATGAGTCATCTCATTGATTGGAACACGTTGGAAGTGCCATGTTCTTTCCATATAACGCCTATAACGCCTCCATACGTGCCCCGCCTGACATGATCTCAAGCAGCTAATTGCACTCGTAGGGCCATTTTTGTGGTAGACATTGGTAGGCTCTTGGGGGGGGATGGGCTGCTTGGTTTTGCGGTCGGAGGGAGTGATTTAGCCCAAACAGGGGGAATGCCCGGCCAAGATGTTTTCATGTTTTTCCCCGGTTCGGAGCCACAAATCCAGCCGGCACTTGGTAACTCGCTGTTCAGGTCCATCGTCGGATTTGGCCTCCTTCACCAGCGCCGTCGCGTTCACATGTGCGCCGTCGCGTTCACGCTGAAAGCGGTTCGACCCACCTGGCTTTCTGCCCATGTCCTGGCGCAGTTCCTGGGGCGAATGAACGCCAATGAACGCCGCCGTCTGATGATCCAACGACATCTATGCCTCCCATGCCTCCGGACGATGGTTCCTGAGACTCCTGAAGTCGGACCGAGGATGCATGGACCACAAACCGCCCGCTTCGCAAAAGGGAGCCTTCCGCCCGGCGGTCGGCGCGGTCGGCGCGGTCGTTTTTGGTGCGATTTCGGTGGGCCAGAGGTGCCATGACGAGGTGCTGGGATGCTGGGGATGCGACGATCATGATGGATGCAACTAAGATTATGCGGCTTTGAGAAGCGTTTGGCTGGTGACTGGTTCCATTTTGTGGCATTCTACTAGGAAATGACGGTAATTGTATGTCTATTCTCAATTACTAGTTTTATGTTGACCAGCTATGCAAAAATTGGGAGACCCAACTAAACAAAGTCATAAGTAATATGGCTGAAGCATACAGAACAAGTAGGACAAGCAATAAATGAAAACATAGTGTGCATATATGTATATGATTTGCATTTTTTATAAGCATATCTAGGAAGAACGTTGTATACAAGAATGGAAAGCCGGTGAAAAATAGTGAACACATGGAAACAGTGCAATCCGGGACGAGTCATGCCCGCCAGACACAGAGAGAGAGAGAGGGAGAGAGAGAGAAGAGGCAAAGCACACAAGACAAACAATGACAAACATGGTGAACATCATGTCAACAACAAGGGGGTACATAGGAGATAGTTAGCAGATGTTAGTAGAATGATCCTACTCTTTTTCCACTTTTCCTATTCTTCAATGTTTGTCGTTCCTACCCAGTATATATTTGCCCCAAGTCTATCGACCCTTTTGTTTTGACAGATGCACTGTTTGAGGCCTGAGTTGCCGCTCCCAAAACATGCAACGGCTGTTTTGTTCTATTGTTTTCCCTCTGGGTGAACCCCTGTTTGCGGAATATATTTAACTTTTCTGGGCTCCTGGACAGCAAATCCAAGAAATGGTGATGCTCTTTGACATTGCTTTTGCCTAGGCGCTGGCCGAGCAAGGGTTGCAGCGGAATAACTTGGAGGAGCGGTGTTTTTTCGTGCCGTGGTGCATGTGGCGGCCTGTCCCAAGTCCCAAGTCACTACGGCTTGGGTCGCATGTCAAAATCTGCGAGCAGGGGATCTGGAGACACGCCACCAAACCGATCTCCACGTCCAATTCTTGTTTCGGTCGCCCCCCTTGGTCAATGACTCAAGCGATGTCTCTCGCACCACCTGCTACCTGGCGGAGCCTTTAGTTGCGCGTTTAGGGCTGCAAGATGCTTTAGAAGATCTCTTATAAGGGCATAGATTGGGAACCTCAATATTTTTAAACATCGAAAGCGCCCTGGGTCGCTCCCCACCATCGGGGAATGGTTTTTCCCGGGTTCCCACATCCGACCCGATGTGAAGATCGACCTGGGAGGCTTCCGCGAAGAGCTTTCAGTTGCAAGCACAGGCACGTCTCGATGTGAAGACGCAGAGGTCGTGGTCTTCTCCGGGGGAGGAGGTTCTGCACAGAAGGGTTCTGTAAGGTTATGTTTTTCAAAGGTACTGCATAATATATATATATATATATTGATATTCTTACAACAAACACTTCAGGACGGAATGCTTTCCACCCCGAACAAAATTAATCCTGTCCACCCACCAAAAACACGCGCCGCCCCCTGATAAGGAAACCTCGGTCGCCTTTTTGTTAATAGGGGGTCCCTGAAATCGGGGTGGTCCAAAAAAGGGGCGGTGGAAGGATCGCGGTACTTTGTGGACCTTGAAGTGCAGATTTCGTGACAGGCGCAGTACTTTGTTGACCTGGAAGTGCAGATTTCGTGGCATGTGAAATACTTTGTGGGCCTAGAAGTGCAGATTTCATTGCAGGTGCAGTAATTAATGACTTTGTGTTTCTTGAAGTGCAGATGTTGTGGCAGGTGCAGTACTTTGTGGACCTTGAAGTGCAGATTTCGTGGCAGGTGCAGTACTCTGTGGGCCTTGAAGCGCAGATTTCGTGGCAGGCGCAGTACTTAGTGGACCTTGAATCGCAGATTTCGTGGCAGGTGCAGGACTTTGTTGACCTTGACATGCAGATTTCGTGGTGCAGCGCTTGGTTGAGCTTGACGTACCACTACTGCCACCACCACTACCACTACTGCTACCGCCACTTCTACTACTACTTCTACTACTTCTACTACTTCTACTACTACTGCTACTACTGCTACTACTACTACTACTACAAGAGGGAGATTTTGGGGACCCTAATTTAAAAAATCGGCAAGTTTAGTAGCAGCTTGAAGGGCGGTAATTTAAAACGAATATAAACCGTTTCCGGCATAACTCTTTTTCAATAGGGGTCTTCTTTTTAATAGGGTGCTCGGGGTTATAATCTTAATGCAATATATATATAATATTATATAATTATATATATATATATTTAACACTTCGGCGGGGCGGAATCTAATCCGCAGGAACTCCACTGCGATCCCTTGTAGGATTCTAAGGGGAAAGGCTTGTAGGTCATCTATTCACAGGCCTGTTGCCAATTTTTTTTACGTTTGTCCTGTTTGTGTGTATATATATATGTACCAAACATTATGCACTTGCTTTGACATTCGGCAACAGTGTACAAGCTACAGGTCCCGTCTTTATTTATGTTCTATTCATGGTCCTGTTGAGATTGTTTGGAATGACCCGCAAAGAGAGACGCTGCACCCAAACACACTGGAAAATTGTCACGAACCTCGATACCGTGACTTAAGAGGATTCACGCCCCGTGCCAATGGGGCTTGAACCATTTGCATGCTATCTTAC